GCATTCACCCTCACAGCAAGAACCCGCAGAACAAGGTTTCTCACATTGATCCTCAAAGGCGCAGCGAACCCAAATAGATGCGGCTTGCAAAGGTGGCATGCATCCAAGCACAGGTGCTCTATTTTTAGCCAAAAGAGACTCTGGGCAGAAATACTAGAGTGTCCATCGAATGGAGATTCGTTAACACCAAAGGAGCACTTGACAAAGGACAAACGTTTTGCAGATGGGGAGATGAAGTTGCAGCCGGCCATGAATATGCTCGATGTGATCTCAAGATCCTCCATGTCCGGACATCTCGAAAAATCGATGACACATGGTATTTCGGTGCACACACGATCAATATGCAAAACCTTCAAGCACATTGAAACAAGACGCCGGTCCCATAGCGCACCAATCTCCCTGAGGCTCAAGCACACGCGCATCACCCTGGCTCGCAGCAGGAGAGCGTGCCGGACCCAGAGATCCACGTACCTGTGTGGTAGGGTCGATCTCTCAACCTAGAGAGGTTGATCTCGCACTCGTCCAGGGTCGACCCCGGGTCGCGGAGCAGCAGAAGCTGGTTCACAAACAAGTCGAGCCTGTCGCTGCTCCCCAGCGCCGGGACGTCGGTGATGCGCAGGCGAGGCAGCGCCCGCCAGAGGTTGCCCCAGCGGCGGCCGAGCACGCACGTCCTCACGGCATCGCGTGACGGCAGGAAACCCAGCGCGTGCTGGAGGACGGCGTCTGGCAGCGCGCTGATCCGGTCGTCCCCATCCGCATCATCCGCGTCCTGCCGCGAGGGTTTCTTGGCGCCTTGGCGGCCTTCATCCCACGGGTCATTCCGCGCATCACGTCGTTGGCCGGCGACCCCTACCGCCGGCAGTTCGGAGAGGAAGCACTGCAACAACAGCGTACTGCGAGCAGGACGCCAGGAGGGCTTACCTTCGCTCCACCGAAGCGTCGATGCCGGCGCCCGGCGGCGCACAATGGGGAGTGGGGACGACGCGCCGGCGCTGGTCTATACATGGGCTATAGATGGAGTGGGTATAGATGGCCAGATGGACGTCCCGGTCTGACATGGGCCTGCTGAGGCTTAGCCCAGTTAGAGTCTGACTGGTACGGTCTTATTTGCTCAATGTGCGGTGCCATGGGCTATGCCTTTGATCTAGACACGGCCATACACAGGCTTAGTCAGCCCAGACTGGTCCATGGGCCCAACAAGCCCGCTACGGCTGGAGCTGTGCTGCCAGGCCTGCTTGTCTGCGTTGGGAGAGAATTGATGGAAAGGAAGAGGAGCCGATGTTGGAGTAGCGGGTGGATGGGAATCTATGGTGGAAGAGAGCTATAGCAAGCAGAAGAGAGGAAGGGGGAACACTGTGTGGCGCTCGAGATGTCAAATGTGTTTATGTGGCGGGCGGTATTGGAGTTAGTATTTTCAGAGGAATGAAAACACATTATATTTGGGGGTTGAGATGGTTGAATAGACGCTTACGCTTGACATGTCGGGGCGGGCCGGCGCACTATGCCGAGGGACCGATCTGGGTACCTCCGTGCAACAGGTCGGGCCGGCATGAGCATGATGTCCATCGGGTTGTGATGCCATGCCTGGGGTGGGGTATGAGTCGTGCCCGTGGGCCTAGAGCCTTATAACCATCTATAGGTTTGAGAAAAAAATAAATGGAATAATGCTCTACAGAAGGAGACTTCTAAGCTATTGGATTAAAAGCTGAATGGATCAGATTCAATTGCTACATGCCACCTATCCACATTGCTGATTACACACACTCAAGAAATTACTTTGAGGTGCATACAACACAGCTTCCAGTACACAAATGTTCTTATTATCACTAGCGGTTGTCATATCTTTTTCTAATAACTTTCATGAATCTTGTATTCTATATTCCGGCCCATAAGTAATTTCATATGAAAACAGTTTCAGCTTCAAAGTTTTAGATCTCGTCAAGTACTACAACTTTGGTTTATAGCATATCTCCATCCATGGTCATTTGAAAAATTCAAAAAGATTTCAATTTTAAAATGTGAGAACTTATAGTATAGTTTTAAGACACTAGATGAATTCAAGTGAGAAATGTAATCAAGTAAAAAGTTGAAGATGTCCTCAAGCTCTAGGTACATCTTTGATATAAATTTTGTTGTCTTTATCCAACTTGATATGGAAAAGTTATGATTTTTTTTTGCGGTGAATACTTTTAGAAGCAAGTGATAATGCCAACTTCCTCTAGAAAATCGACCTCAAGAGATGGGTGATGTTTCTAGCTACCTCTGGAAATACCACTATGTACAGAGGCGATTAGTGTTATCAACCGCCTCTAAAACTATAGGACATTTATAGAGGCAGATGGAAACACCAGTCGCGTCTTAGAGGAGGGCCGTCTCTGAAACAAATTTAGAGGAGTTTTTGATAAAGTTGCTTCTGCCCAAAATGGTGAGCGCCAATTCTATAGCATGGTGTAAGAAATTGAAAGAAGAAGAGTGTGGAATGCATATTCTGAATAAAATGTTAAATATAATCAAGAGAACATGAAATTTAAAAGACAATTGGTCTATGACAATTCACATGGACTAGGCTAATTATAAGAGGTTGTAGGGACCGAGACGCCGAAGGAGCAAGTGGAGGGGTGAATTAGGCTCTCTAAAAACTTCTACTCTAATTATGGCCTCTAATTACACTTATCAAAACCTATGAATGAAAGTAATCTATCTATATGTGCTACTAAGGTTTTGTTAAGTGTGTAGCGATCCCTACCATCAAAGAGTTATGCAACCTAGATTCCTATCCTATCAACTAGCCTAGCAAGCTAAACTTGAATAGTAAAGCACACAACCTATGATAGCAAATTAAATGCGAAAGCTTAAGAGTAGAGAATACAAACTCATCATGATGACTACAGTATTTTTTGAGGTATTGAGAAGCTCCTTGCTTCCCCTAGTCCTCGTTGGAGCCCCTCACAAGGACCAAGCTCTCGGCTAGGTAACTGTTGGTGTTTCTTAGCGTAAGCAGAAGGAATCCGCAAGGGCACGGATACATCGATGTAGCACTTCACCCGGAAGTATTCAGGGTATCGTATTTTCCAAAAGGAACGGATGTACAAAGATCTCTTAGCTAGTTCTCCTAAGTAAATAAGAAGAAGGATAACTTGGGTAGTGAGGTTCTTCTAAGGGCAGAGATCTTAAGTGAAGATAACCTTGTCACTAAAGACTTACTTTGGGCACCGGATATCACCTGGTCGGTCAAGCAATGTCGTCTTGTAGCTCTACGCCGAACCCGAACGTGGGGGGTTACGAAGGACGGATAGGGCTGTCACCACCTGCCGACTAACCCTCAACCGTGGGGAACAAGGCAAACGAAGGTAACTTCTAGCTTAGACACCACGTCTACACTATCGGTTACTACTCTAGCAACGGCCAGAAATTTCCATCTTTATCAGGAGTCCTCTACTAGAGTATCTCCCATGTGGACGAACGATGATCCCATAAGCAAAAATTGAACAAAGATAACTTACTTAAGAACTTAATACCAAAAGGTGAACACGAACTTCTTACTCCAATTAGTAAGATGAACGTAGAGGTACAAGTGTAGAGGAAGCCGACAGCTCCGACACTCCTTCCGCTAAGTGTACAAGTGTATCGGGTACAATAGTGGAGGTAGCCGACAACTTCGATACTTCTCCCACTCTTCTCTCTCTCACTCCCTATTCTATTCTAGCTAGAAGCTAAGGATATGAATGGAGCTCTTCTTCTTCTCTTGTGTATGCTTGATTTTTCATGAAGAGGCCTTCCCCTTGCTTATATAGCTCACCAAGGACGGTTGTGGGGGAATATTCTCTGGGATCCACATGCAACCGTCCTTAGGAGCAATTAATGCACTGCCTGGAGAAAGCTGGGCCCGAAAGGCGGTAGGGGGTTGTGGCCGCACCCAAGGTGGCGCCTCCCTACACCACCTTTGCAGGGCGATTGCTGGATGGGCCTGGGCTTCATCTTCATGGGTATGGCCCCCAGAATCCGTGAGTATGTGACCTTTCTCATGTTTTGCTTGTCTACGCTTTCTTGATTGCACATTTTGATGTATTTTCATGTATATGTCCTACAAAACATGTAAACACCAAAAATAGTGGAAATTTTAAGTTGAAACTCCTATTTCTAAGTTTTGGTATTCATATTTGTTCTTTTTATTAATATGTTGGTGGTAAGAAATATGAGTTAACAACCGCCAACAGTAACTCAATGGATAGTTCTCGAGCCTTCTGAACTCACAAGTGGGCCTCCGAGATGGCCTCTCTCGACCGCTCCCAAACATCTGCACTATCGAGCTTCCTGTTGAAACGCCGCAGCCCTCGTTCCCTCTAGTACACCGGTGGTGGACACAACACAAATGCGGTTGGTGTGATCTCGCAAACTATAAGCCTCTCCGAGTACAACAATGGTGCGCACAAGCACCAAGCAAGCAAGAGGTATGCAAACCTCACTAAAGACTCGGCTTCAACCTAGAGCAAGAGCATAAGTGATTGTCGACAAAAGATGCTCGACAGTCCTCCGAGGGGTATCCCACGAAGGTAGATTGATCGGTGGAGGTGCGCGTAATCAGGAACTGGATGGTGACACAAGGCGTAAAGACAGCGATTTAGACAGGTTCTTTGCCAAGTGCCCGAGTGTCTTCTTCACTACACTCGGCAAATAAGCTCTTTGCTAAGTGCCCGATGGAATGCACTCGACAAACCAAAAACCACTTGGCATATTTACTGTTTTCGGTAGTGTATATACGTTTTTATCATAACGTCGAGTGCAATAAAAATATAATGATGTAAATAAAAAAAACTATAGCTTTCAAGATAAATAACACATAGATATCAAAACTTTGGATGATGCTATACCATTCCTCCCGTTGCAACGCACGAGTACTTTTGCTTGTACGAGAGAATATCACACTTACACATATATATAGGTGGAATATATCGCTAGTACAAGTGGGATTTTAGGTGACAAACAAATTTTACCGGATCTCAGCGCGCGCGATAAACAGAAGCACGACAGATGTAGTGGCACAACTTGGCAAATCTCCCCCAGAAAGTCTCGGCAGGCCTCGCGTGATGGCGCTTGCACAGGTGGTCGTCGCACTTGCAGAGCATCCCCAGCCTCGCCAGGTCGTGCGCCTGCACGACCTTCTCCTTCACGGTCCGCTCCCGGACGAGGGTGACCGTGCACCGGACGGCGAGGCAGTCGTCCCTGAGGAACATGGAGCGCTCCAGCTCCTCCACGCTGATGAACCGCGGGAGACCCCAGCGGCAGTACTTATCCTTGCCCCCAAAGGTGCGTACGCCCTGCGACGTCTTGCTCGGCGAGCCTTGGTGACCGTACGCCGGCGGTGTGCCTTGGTGACGCACCAGAGCGAACTCGAACTCGGCGAGGACGACGGAGTCACTACAGAGGTTCAGATACAGCGAGACGAAGCCTGCGTTCTCCTTGCTGTTGCCGTTGAGGTAGCAACGGATCTTCCAGGTGTGACCTCCGACCTTGGACACACTGGACTCTATGTAGCTGCCGTTCTCGTGGTGCGTCCCCTTGAGCCGCGAGTAGCCCTCGAGCTTGAGCATGAGGTGACCGGTGGCAACCGCCGTGGCGGCGACGGTGCACACCGAGACCTCCTCCGCCTCCGGAGACGACGTGGCGGCACCTGCATCTAAGGGCATGTAGCTGACCGGTAACGGCGACATATCGCCGGATTTTTGTTATTTGTTACTAATTACACACGGCGGCGGCGACGACCTACGTACTCTTCTACGATCGACGATGCAGATGACAAGGTTTGGAAGGTTTATTTATGCAGATATATACATAGCAGCTCTCTTGTTTCTGAAACCGGATCGGATTCTAATATTTGACTCGATTACATGTTGCTTCTAATAATCTAATAATAAAAGAATTTACAATCCTTGTCGGTCACGTACAACTAACTGCTCAAGGTGCGACTACAAGTCAGGGACTCACGGTTCAAAACTTCGACTAAACTTTTGCTGGAACTCAGAACGGAAGGACAAGCGACGGCGTGTCCGGACACACCTTCCACGCCCCATCCGAAAATACGGAAGTAAGCCCTGCCCGCATCCATCCTGCGCCAGCACGCCCTACCCGCGTCCCGGACGCAGCACCGCCGCCCGCATCGCACCACGCCACAGCCCCGTGTCCCATCCCGCTCCAACGCCGCCGAAGAACACGTTCAGGTTGAGCTTGAACTGCCACGGCGAGATGGAGAGAGGGGAGAGGAGAGGAGAGGAGAGGGCGAGGCGCGCTGCGCGAGGTAGGAGCCAAAGCCCTGTGGCAGGCTGCTGTCAGCCAACCACCAGCGCCATTGCAACATGTACAACACCCAATCTACTTTTGAAACATCTAGATGAAATATTTGCAACATGCGTCTAAAGACAGGTGAAATGCTTCAAACATGCGTCTGAAACACTTGCAAAAACCCTTGAAAACACTTGAACAGCCAGTGTAAAATATATGCAACATCCAAATAAAACACTTGCAACATATGTGTGAAACATATGAAACATCCAAATAAACACAATTGCAACATATGTCTGAAAAAATAGATGAAACATTTGAAACAAGATGTTTGCAGCATATGTGTATAGCCTTTGCAACATATGCAACATCCCGATCTACTTTTACAATGTTCATATGAAACACTTGCAACATACCACTAAAACATCTGAAACACTTGAAACATACTCATGCAACATGCGTTTTCCACCCTTCTTCCGTACGATGCAAAGCAGAGTGGGAGAGCGGCCGGTTCTGGCCAGCCGATTGCCGAGGATGGTGGCATGGCCTGGCAGTTACCAGCTACGCCTGTGCTAGGCCTGGGTCCAGACAGACGCCCCGCATCCCATCGTTACCGAATTTCGAATCTCATCACTTTCACTCTAGATACTCATGACGGAGGCCGATACACCATATGAGAGGCGTGCGGTAGGGACACTCCCTCTCTCCCCCCCTTGTTTCTATAACACTATAGCCATATTTTGAGTTCATAGGACATACAACAGAGATACTACATAGAGAACACATTTTTTTGTCATTTTTGTGTACTTTTACTATTTTAAAAACTATTAAACACACCTATTACAAGATAAATTAATTACTCAGTAAATATGTATCCATTGGTCATGAAAGTTTTACCATAGCAAAAACATACTAACACTAGCTTACCAACAAAATTGAAAAGCATTTGGACTACTAAAACATGTGCTCTACTAATTTATCAAGGAAAACATGGATTCTCAAATAGAGCAAAAACTTTATAGTAAAACATGTGATATTATATTATACACGCACAGACTGGGCAGGGCGGCCCAAGCGTGGGGGAGGCAGGCCGGCCCAGCTCGGCAACGGCCCAGCTAGCCGGGGAGACCAGGCGAGGATGGCACTTTGCATGAAAGCCGCTGGACTTCTCCTAAACTTTTCCACAGACCAAAGACTCTTGCTCACTATTCATATGAGTCAATAACTTCGCATTTAACACCCTGCGTACGTTTCTATTCATTCACTTCCCTTTCCTCAGAGCAGGGGATGGCGCGGACGGCGATGGCCGGCGTGGATGCCGACCGGGGCAGGGCCTACCGGCAGCTGCGGGTGGCGCTGGGGCAGCAGTGGCCTCGCGCGCACGCGTGGGTGGGGCGACTCGGACGGGCGCGGCCGGTGGTAGCCCCGGACGCCTGCGCCGGCGGCTCGCGGCGGTAGCAGCTGCAGCGGCGGCGCTGCGTGGCGTGGCAGCCGGCAAGGGCGGGCTTCCTGGCCGGGGCAGCGCACAGCGCGGCAGCCGGTAGCGGCCCGAGCAGGGGCCGAGAGCAGGGGCAGCGTCGGGGACTGCGCGGCGGGCTCGCGGAGTCGCCGTGGCGGTGCTACGCGCTCGGGGCCTTCGCGCGCGTTCGTCGCCGTGTTCGCGTTTTTCCTGCTTGTGCTGTGGGCGCCAGCAGGCCGCACATCGTCGTCAAGGTCCGTCTCTCGTAGCGTACTCCTGTAGTCAGCTCGTTTGTTCTCTTCGCAAGCAAAATATTTTGGCTGAATTGCAGTCAGCGTGTTGAGTGAGGCGAGACATAGCAACACTTACGTACGAGTGGTACGCTGATCCAACATACTGCGGTTTTAATATTATAAGAAAGAGGGGATACAGACATTTTTGCAGTAACTTCTATGTTAAGAATCATTTAGAAATTCAATGTTTTGGCACCCAAACTACAACCATGAAGCCAAGTTATTTGAGGGCTTCATGATGTTGGAACAATTATGTAGTTACTTATATGGTGTTTTCAGTACAGCAATTTTGCCATCGCCATATACCAACTTAACATTAGTCGTATCGAACTATGAAAAGAAATATCAAAGTCCAGTGTTAGTATTCCCTTCGTTCCAAATTATAAATCGTTCGACTTTTTTGACCACAAGTTTGACCGCTCGTCTTATTAAAAAAAATTGTGCAAATATAGTGAAATTTAAATCATTCTTGAAGAACTTTTGTTAATAAAGCAAGCCACAACAAAAGAAGTGATATTTAACACAAATTTTTCAACAAGACGAGTGGTCAAACTTGGGGTAAAAAAGGTCAAACGAACTATAATTTAGAACGGATTTAGTACTTTTTAGTTGTGATTTTTAGAGAACATTCGGGTCAGCATACAACCTTTAATTTATCCTTTTTTTCATTTGCAATCCGAATGTATGTTTCATTCTGTATGCATGTTCTTCGTGGCAACATAGACCGAATGAACAAGTGCACAACGGCATGCGCGCGCCTTCCCTATCGCGTGCCGTCCAGAGCTGCTCCAAGATTCGTGCCAGTCAACTCTCCCTTTTCCCACCTCCCATTCCCTCCCCCGCTTTCCCACCTTTCCCGTTCGTTACCCGTTCCCTGCGTGCTGTCCAGAGCAGCTGTCGTCAGTTTGCTTTTCTTTCCATTCCCGACTCTCTCTCTATCCTTTTTCCTTCTCATCTCTGTGTTCTTTATTTACTTTTCTCCCACACATATGTACCATATTAGGTCATATCATTCTCATCTTTTTTCTTTATTTACTTTTCTCCAGGCTACCATTATTTTTAGCGCACGTTGTTTAACCATATATACATAGGTGGTGGAGAAATAAGTCATAGTTTGTTGTGAATAGGGCAAATCAAATAGCAAAGCACCTAAATTCTCTTTAAAAGAAAGCAACGGAAGATCTTAATTGACAACAGAATAAGAGTGTAAAAGCAGTATCTGTACACTGTACGCAGAAGCAAAGCAAGATCTGAGCAGTAGGAGCACGCTTGCTGTGTGCGGGCTTGGAGCGGGCCTGACCTTGTTGGCCTAGCTGCTGGCCGGTGGCTGCGGTCCTTGCGGACAGTCGCAGTCACAAACGACGGAGTTGCGGAGGGCAGCGATGGAGCGAGATTGAGAGAGCCAGCGGCAAGACACAGCTTGAGCTTGTGGCCGTCGGTTCCGAGATATGTGGTCAATAGTATACAGCCCACTATGGCCCTCATGTAGTTCCGCCGGTGGTTCCAACGGCAAGACAGTAACGGAGAGCAGCGTCTGGACGTGCGGACACCTGCGCTGCTGCCTGCTCGTTTAATGATACCCTTATGGCGCATATGGATGCAGCAGCCGTCGCGTTCGCGCGCCTCATCGCCTACCCATAGATGCAGCTTGCGGTCGCTTCGCCTCGTGCTCCATGCCTTGCTGTTGCTGCCCATAGATGCAGCTTCGGTGCTCTGCGCTGTTACCACGCCTGTGGATACAACTTTGTGCTCGTGCCTGTTGCCACGCCCGCTTCGCTTGCCGTGTGCACACGAGGACCGCTGCGCCTGAGGGGAACACCTTCGCCTGTGCCCCCTTGCCGCGTCTGCTCATTAAACACTTGCAACATAAAACATTTACCGCAACATACGTCCAAAACAGATGAAACATTTACAACATACGTTTGCAACATATGTGTATGGACACTTCAACATATGCAAAATACAGATAAAACACTTGCAACATATGTTTGAAACAGCTGAAACATTTGAAACATACACTTGCAACATACATTTATAGCCAATGCAACATATGCAATATCTAGACAAAAACACTTGCAACATACGTTTAAATCAGCTGAAACATTTGAAACATATAGTTTCAACACACGTGTATAGTCATTGCAACATATGTAACACCAGATCTACTTTTGCAACATCCAGAGAAAACATATGCAACACACATCTGAAACGCATGAAACGTACGGTTGCAACATGTGCTCATCTACTTGTTGCCCCCCCCCCCAATGGACGCTCGTTGACGCGGAGCTTGACGCTGGCACGGAGCTTGATGCCACGACACGGAGGTCGGACCTCGATTGTGTGCAGAGCGAGTGCGGGGCGCGCGAGGCTCGAGGCGCGGGGGCAGGCGGGTCCATCCCCTCCGGCCCGACGGGTGACAGTAAACAGCCTGGGCTTCATATCACAGCAAACACGCGGACAGTGATCACATCACATCAATAGAGATAAAGAAAAATGCAAGAAAACTGTGGCATTGCAGAAATACCAACAAACAGTATAGTCATATTCAGCACAGGTACGATATGTTTGGCAAGAGTACATTATTGCTTTTGAGCTGAAGTGAGAAATAAAACAAGACAAAAGGAGCATCGTCCAAAAACAAGAGAATATAAGTAGTTATTTAATTTGTGCTGGGTAAATGGGGTAGGACTAAGATAGCAATCACAATGAGGTTCCTAACCAACTACCCTTTCTGCTTCTTTCTCAAGATCAAAGAGGAGAGGCCAGGCCATCTTCCTCAGTCCATGATCCCTCCCAGTCCCAGCAAACAGTACACAACTTTCAAGGTTGGACATGATTTTCCTAGCCTTACACAGCGACTTCACGAATTCCTGGTGTTTGAAGTGCTCAGTATACTGGTTGCGCTGCATCATTGATAAGGCTATCTGACCGCAAAGCTTCACAATATTGAGACTGCAAACTGTGGCCTGACAGTTCTCTTCTACCATACTCTTGAGCTTCGCCACAAATGCTGAGCCATTGTTTTGAAGCGCAATGCTGAAATCTGCATTTTCCAGTTTAGCATACATCACAAGAGTAAGCGACAGAAGTTTTTCTTGCAATGCCTTTGTAGCAGTTTGCCCCTCATTTCCTTGATCAGATGACTTATTTTGGTCCCTTGATGAAGGAGTCTCTCCTGAGTAGGAATGTTTTGGTTTTCTTCATCTTGTCCCTGAGTAGGAATGTTTTGGTTTTCATCATTATTGCTTTGTGTGTTTTCTCTTTCAGAGGACATTATTATTGGGAGAACCTGCCGAGTAATGTGACTTTGTTTAAGGAATAATTGGAGGAAAATTTAAATAACCACCCACAAGATACTATTAAGTTGGAATGGAAGCTTCAAATGTTGTTTCTATGGCCACAAATGAAACAATTCAACATTTTATTCTTTGACATGTGACTTTGCATGCAAACACTATATGGCGCATTGTGAATGTTTCATTAGGAATAAACTAGCATAGAAACATAACCTATGTGATGAGTTACCTAATGGTATAGGGCAAGCAAAATAAATAAATAAATAAAAATAGAAGGATTTTATTAGGAGGTGTGGCATATTCGTGGTGCTAGAGTCTAGAAATGTTTGAATTTGCTGAACAGACTTGGGCACGTACGCACCTTTGGCAGCAATATATCCTTCACACGTTGTTTGCCACAGTGTGCACACATATTCTCCAAGATCTCCGCTGCTATCATCCTGTATTTGATTTTGATGTTCTTATCATCAAGAATTTGAACTAGACGATCGAAGCTACTCTCATCTGCACATTTGGTTAACACTAGTGTTCTCCCAGCGGTGGCTCTAAGGTCCCCTTCACCGGTAAGGAAGATGTGCATCTGCTTCTTCATGAGAGCTCTTTTTGTTTCCCTGGGTAGGTCGATAGACAGATCCAAGGCCAGTTCTGTCAGGATCTCCATCGCTCGCATCTTCAGCTCCTGTTGGGCTTCCTGACGAACAATAATGGTGTCGAGGTTGCTCATTGCTTGCTTGTTTGAGGAGATCTCAGTGCGCAGCCTTGCGCTGGTCTCCCCGGGAGCATGGATGAGCTGGTACACAACCTTGAAGGTGGCGTTGGCAACATGGACCCAGTCGGCGATGCCGATACCTTGGACGAACCTGCCGGAGTAGAGCGGCGCCGTGATCTTGGCGAGGAGACCGCTGCTGCCGCTTATCTCGCCGCGGTTGTGGTGGTCAGATGCGAGCCTCTCCAGGATCGCCAGGCCTTGCAGGATCAGCTCGTTGCAGGCACCGCTGCCGCCTCCTCGCTGCTGCTGCTGCTGTTGCAGCTGCTGTTCCTGCTGCTGCTGCTTCAGGCGAACACCATCACGTTGTAGTCTCTTGGGGAGTTTTTTCTGGTGGCGTGCTTCCCGTTCTCGTTCCCTCCTTTCGAGTCGAAGGATCATGGCCTGTTTCTCTGATGCAAGCCTCCTCTGTGGATGATGGGTGAGCCCTTGTTGGTCGCTGTACGCCAGCGTGGCCTCGTCCTGGAGAAGGTAGGATATGCACTGGATGGCACCGGAGAACTGAGCCAGGTGGAGGCCGCCGGCGAGGTGCGCCACGATGCGTGCAGCGAGCTTCCTCATCTCTGCGTCCTCCGGTCGCCGGCCTTCTCTCCATCCCAGCGAGTCGATCAGCTTCTGGATCTTCGGCCTGGAAGGAAGAAGCAGCGACCTCATGTCGCACCCCTGCCTGATGAACTCGTCCAGCAGCCTCGCCCCCGACAGGTTGTCATCCCACGACCCGGAGTCCAGCAAGCTGACGGCGTAGTCGACGAGCTTCCGGCCACGGATCGACGAGAGGTTCCGCCAGCATCTCGCCCTGGTGTCGCAGAGGAACTCCACGAGCGCCAGGCGGCACCATGCCGTGTTGGGCAGCTTGCAGTGTTGACGGAGCGTTATGAGGTGGTCTACCCACCAGGACTCATGGTAGAGCCAGACCAGGAGGAGCCCGCCTTGGAGGAGGACCAGGGAGTAGAACATGTCCAGCGCCGGCGCCAGGTTCGCCTTGTCGTCCCCGCCGCCGCCGTAGTCGCGCTGCACCGTGCGCCAGATGGCAAGCGCGATGCAGGCGACGGGCCCGCCATACACGTAGAGGAAGGCAGGGACGTAGCACATGACCAGGAACGGCAGCACCGCCAGTCCAACGAAAGCAACGGAGGCAACTCTTGCAGCTACCGTGGCCAAGGGATCTTTGTCTCTAAACGATTCGGTCACATGCAGCATTCGATGACGCAGAACGACACGGTTGTGGCGGATAATGTGCGTCACTAGCTTGAAGAAATTGGGGAGTAGCTGGTCGGCCAAGTCGTGAAAAATCCTGCAGCGGCCATAGCAGCAGTGTAGTCAATGCTTGGCTAATCCGCTCGGTAATCGAAATAAAAAATCAAACTAAACAAACTAAATGCATCACATACTAAGTGTATGTAAGTATAAGTATATATTACGTTGGAAAAAATGGGCCAACAAATATCAAAGGCCTATTCATGTGTGTGCATATCTAGGAGTGGTGGAACTTTAGTCTCACCTTATTCATTCAAGCGGAGGATGACATGCTTAAATATGGAAGCTCTCTGCGTCTAGAGGGGGAAGAGAGAAGGGAACTCCCACACGTGAGCTCACTCACCATGCAGATCGTGACCACGGGCACCTGTGTCAATGGTCCGCCAAATTTCGGCCCATCACCTTTCTGAGACCATGGCCTCTTATTGCAGTTTTAATTTTTGGTTGTTTGGCGTTTAAGTCTGCAAATTGGAAACCTAATCATTTAGATCATGATCGTGATGTGATCTGAGATCATGCAGGTCTTCTCATTATATATGACCTATTTGCCACCGCCATAACGACATCTATTCAAGCTAGGGTTTGCCACTGCTGCACTACCGTCATGGCCTCTCCATCACCCGAGCACTAGCGTGCACCAGCAATCGGGAGAGTGGGTCTCTGGAAACGCTCACCCTTGTGATTCTGCAAGGGGAGAGGGTGAAAAGGTTTTTAGGGAACCGCCTTCGCGTGATTGCTCGCAACCTCCACGACGGCTCGTCTTTCGTCCAAGTTAGGTGGTGTCGTGTACCATTGTCTTTGTCGCCGGCTGCTTCGACCCATCTTCACTAACATCATCAACAACACCGTCACTACTCCACCACCACCCTTGCTGTCTCCATATGCAAATGAGAAGTATGTACGCCATGCATGATCTGATCTATATATAATTTCAATACGCCATGACCTAGGGGACAGAAGATGACATCACGCAAAACACGAAGCAATAGGTGCAATCCACAAATCAGGAAGACGAAGGGCTCCTCGAGAAGACCTTAGGGGTTCAATGTGGTCACGAATGTCCTCCCCACGAGGGAAATCTACTTAGCAGTGGTGATAGGCTATTCTGACTGAGGCCTAACTAGGTGGGGATATTTCATCTACTTGGCGGCTGGACAAGGTATAGATCGACCTAGGGGATGTTGGAGTATACAATTTCACTAATTTGTGTAGATCTGAAATGATTTCTTGTAATAAAACTAGGAAACCAACCTTAACAGATTGGGGATTCCTTTGTAAACCCTACCTACGGACCATATAAGGAGAAGTAGGGTGTGCTCGATTGAGAGATCCATTGTCCACCATCATCAGCACCCCCGCTCCCAGCACGGACTGCACAACAACAAAGCTCCCATTTAACTGGACATAGGACACCCTATCCTAAACTAGTATAAACCCATGTCCCAAGTTGTGCTACGCGCGATATGGTAATTATTAGTTGGATGCTAAATCCACCGCCAGGAACATTTTTTCATGCTTGATGATCTATTAAAATAAATATTTGTCCTAATGTCTACATATTTATTTGATCCACATGGTTGAGCATAGCATTGTGCTTATTTTTAATTTAATGGTGGTAAAAGATTGAAATTTAGAAATATATATATGCATATTTTATGGACGCTAAATTAGTATTTACATGTTGATTGATAGATATCTTTTGATTATTTTATGGTTGAGTTGGATAATTCACATATAAATTGCAATGTGTTATTTTATATTATGTTTTGTAGTGTCATATATGGGTAATTTGAATGCGAACTTAGGGTTTGATTTGCATTATCTTTCATAACAATAGTGGTGGGTAATTTATAAAGAATTAGAGGTGTATTTTATATATCTTATATCATGATAAAGTGGATAATTTAGATACAAATTTAGTGAGTTATTTTGAATTCTCTTTGATAATAGCAAAGTTGTGTAACTTAGATGTAAACTTTTGGGGTGTTATTATTTTAGAATATCTTTTATAAGAGAGAAGGTTGATAATTTATATATAAATTCAGGAGTTATTTAAATTATGTTTTTATAATGGTAGAGGTGGATAATTTAGATGTAAAATTATGGTTTACTTTTCGTATTTTTCATAATGGCACATGTGAGTAATGTTTAGAAATTGAATTGATCCAATGTCTATTATTGGAAATGATGATTAAAGTCTATCAATTTTAAGACCGAGGTGTTTCTAATTATTATGAGAATATTTAGATTTTATTTGATGAGAACTAACATAGAGTGTCCTGGCCGAAGTCTCTAATTAGTAAAAGTAAGATATTATATATTAAAAAACAACTTGACCCGTGGGGGTATGACAACCCCAGCCATTGTGCTTAATGAGAAGACTTTCTCACACGAGTCGAGAAAACCCTGAACTCTTTCCCCACCCATACACAGCGGCACCGCGGCTCCCGTAAGACTGGATTGATCTTAGACCTGTGCTTTGATATGGGACAAACAAGGTTTTTTTAGGGTGCGACGCGGGACAGCTAGCCATCTGGTCTAGCGTCCACTCACAAGATATTATATATTAAAACTACTTTTTTTATGGAAGCATGTAATCAGGGGGCAGAGAGAGCAAATACCGCGATAACTACACCTTACTTTGATGATATACTAAAGGGAGAGTATTATGAAAATATTTTCTCCGGAGGCCATGGACAAGTATTTTTCTCCAGAGGCCCCGTTCGGCTTGCTGAAACTTGGCTGAAAGTAGCTGAAAAACATTGTTCTGGCTGAAATGTTGTGAGAGAAAAATACTGTTCCGACTAAAAAAAGAAGCCGAACAAACCGAATATATGGTAAGCCAAATATAAAATAATAGCTGAATGTGATTTGAAAGACAGCTAAGGCGGACCATTCTCTAGCTACTTGCCTACCGTTAGCTAGTAGGGAGCGAGTCATGATGGGAGGAAGATAGTATATATTTTAAAAATGTGAATAGCTAGGGCATTATATATACTGACCTGGTTGCCTGCATCAAGCTGATTACGGTGATGCACCAAAAGTCTTTCTTGGTCAGCGCTGTGATGAAGCCACCCAGGAGGACTACCGTGGACCACGTAAGCGCCAGGTAGCCTAAGCCCGTCACCGCCTTGAGCAGGTACATATGGAAGAGCACGTACTTGCTCAACAGTAGGTCAAGTTCTTGCGGCAGCGGCAACACGGGAGCACGCCGGCGATTCGGCGTGCAGCATCTGCCGCCGCCGTCCCTCGTCTCTCCTCCGACGCCGCCACCGGCCATCATCGTCCTCCTCAGTTACTACAGTTCGTGTGGAGCCTATTCTATAGATATAGACTCAGCTCATGCATGATTGCGATGGATGGGCTGTATGTGGAGATGGTTGGAAGTTGCTTTAGTTTGTGCCAACGCTAGCATCTCCAGGAGGCGAACTCTTGTGTCTGGGAAGTCGAATCAGATGTTGCCCAAAGAAGCAGCAAAGCCACGATTCGCCCGCTTTGTTTGATCTGTCTATCGCTTTCTCTTTACTACATCTCGGTGGTGATCTGTGTATCGCTTTCTCTTAACTCATGTGATTACCTGAACGGCTCTTGGTCTCGCGGTTCCACGTATTTTCTCGGCTTGCTTAAAATTATAAACCCATATTGTAAATAGCTGAAACAAATACACTATTTTATCAACCCGTCTCCCTGCACAGCCTAGAATTTTAGAATACGAGTAAGTGCCCGTGCATGGCACCGAAAAATAAATAATACTATATAATAATTTAAATATGGAAACATGGGTGCTCGAGGCACTGGACGGAACGCGGAGGACCGGAGGGGTGTAGGGGCGAGCGGGGCGAGATTTGTTAGCGCAGACGATAACCACGGCGCGGACGGCCGGTTCCGCGGCGAGGCGTCCTTGGCTCAGCCTCGCACGACGGGCTAGCGGTGTTCCACAGCGAGGTTCTCCTTCGACGAAGAAAGCCTAGGATCTCTCATCCTCTACACCTCCGGTGTGCAGCACGGCAGCGCGGGGCCTAGCGTGAGCTGGCGCATGGCATCTCGGAGCATATGGCACAGATGCCCCGGGCGCCGGACATGGCAGGCATGGCGCGCGTAGCTAACCCTGGTGAGGGCAGGCTCGGTGGCATGCGGTGGCCCAGGCATGGCCGTCGCCAGTGAGCCCCAGCACGGGCGCCTGGGCCAGCAGCTCCATTACGGTGAGGCTAGCTCACGAGTCCAAGTCATGCCGCTGTGGAGAGGGGCCTTGGTTCGGTTTGGTCCCAGTTTTGCGTGAGCGGGGGTTCAATCACGGAGCGGGGTGGAGGGGGGCGAGGGTGCAGGTGCGCACAGACGGTTCCCTTTTACATTTTTTAGGTGTAGAGATATGATGTATTCTATCTTTTGAGGAATGTGATGGCAATGAGAATTCTCTAGTGTGTTATAATAATAGCTGCCAAATCCTGGCTTCACACGCTTCCCGGCTGCCAAGCCGCCGGCATCGGTACGATGTGATGTGCATGATCATCATAGAATCACGGATGCATGGTGTGGCTCTTTCCTTCTTGGTTCTTGCTCCTTGTGCTCTCGCCGCGCACGCCAAGTACCGACAGTGAGGATCATCTCCGTGACGGAGCCTTGGTTCTTGCATGGGCGCTCACGAGAAATCAGCTGTTTACCGGCCTACGACGCATGGAGGCGTGTTAATCAGCGTCCAGTCGATCCCCTCTGGTGGTCGAAGCAGCCACTGCACGCGACGTGCTCCTCCAATCTCTAACTCTGCCGAAACAGCCTCAAGCCACCTGCCTCCTCCCTCGTCGAGAAGACCTCCCTCCTTGCAAAACCCTGGGATGCTAGAGGTAGCGTGTACACCCCCATTTAAAATTTGTGGACACTTGCAACTAAGTCATTGCGCTGCCATACACAGCTCATGCACACTACTCTTTAATTTGTTTGAGAAAGGATAAGCGTAGCTACATTTTGGATGAGGGAGTAGTTTTTTATTTATTCGAGGGAGTACTTTGAATAACTACTACTTTTGATTTGGAGTTATTATTAAAAATACTATTTTTTTAAGAAAATGGAACTGCATAAGTTCTATTCACTCGAATGAATGGCCAGATCGTTTTAGTCATGATCAAACAAATGAAATTTTAAGCTATCGAAATTTTAGCACAGATAAAACTACAACTCAGCCATTTTCCTGGCTCCATGGTTAGGAGATTTAAGAAATCCACCTGTCTGAATATGCATATATTATGTGGCAATTCCAGCATGGCTGCTATGTGCTAATAATGTAAAACATTAAATACCATGTACCAAACAAATTGTACCATCAGTTATACACTTCAGCAAAATACTCCTTTTTTTTCGAAAGCGTGCATTGGCACGTGCTTCATTAAGGAGAAGTAAGATACAAACACGTCCGGGGTTGCAAAATGGCGAGATGCCAATTCAGCAAAATACTCTGAAAGTGAGATTTATGCCCATATATAGGCCAAATAGCTGATATGATAATCATAAAAAATTGGAAAAAAATATTACATGGCTTGATAAACCAGGTACAGCCAGATGGATTGAACTAGATACGGTGCCAATTCTAAAATTCTCCTATTAGCTCCATCATAAAGTCTCACTCAAGAAAACACCATAATTATATTGTCAGACCGCAGAGAGAACGGAAATAAACCATCAACAGCCAATATATCTCACTGACTGTAACCTAAAGAAACATGATAGCACAAAATAGTTTAGACCAGCATTGAATGATAAAACACAAAGTTTCAGCTATACTCCATGTGGAAATTTCAAGTATCATATAAAAGGCTTCCCAGGACAGAGTGTTTATGATCAGCATTCAAATATAATATGACAATATTATGTACAAGCATGGAGTAGGGTGAATATTGTTTGGGAGCTAGCTTTCTAGACATGTCAGTTGAATTTTCTGCTAAAACTCCAAAGAGCACCCCTGTGGACATGTCTTACCAGCAGATCAGAATTTGATTCATCAAAAGAAACAATCAGTTACACACATACATTCAAAATCACAACAACATAACAAGGTAGTCAAACGTAACATCATATGAAGAAAAGAAGAAAAAAAATCCCATGGTAAAACTTCGTGCGTCTATAATGCATAAAACAAGACCTTAATGGATTCAAAATTTGACCCACAAAGTAAGGCACTGTGTAGAACTGTTTGACACTGTACCCATGCGTGCTTTTGAGGGTATCCAAGTCAATTTTTCTTCGTCAGTAATATGTCCTTCTTTATGGAACTGGAAGGAGTAGCTAAAGGCAAGCACTAGTGATATGTTCCCGTGTAAACAGCGTCTTAAAATGTTTCCATTAGTGAACATATTTGAATGGCGAGCAGCACGAGCTATTTTAAGTTTTATAGACAGGCAAGGGCATATCGTGCTTGCCCTCTTAATAGAATGAGCATCTTTATGCTTATTTAATTTAGGACTTCACTGCATCAAACATAGGTGAAATGTAGAAATGCAAGGTTGAGAGAAAAGTTGTAACTTACCGGGGAACTGCATCTTCTAAATGGTCTGGATGTTAAATTGCTTGAGACTACTAGTAACAAGGGTACTAAAGATTAGCTTTGAAGTTCTTTGAACCCTTTCATCAATCTTAACACATTTTATTTCTAAAATCTTTAGTTGTCTCAATTCAATCGGCTGTTCAGTTGGACTGTAGTTTTCTGCTTCCAGTGCACATTTTTCTCTCTGTAGCATTTGAAGAAGTTAAAACAAAAATCACCCATGCTGGCATGCATGATACATATTATATCTTAAACAAGGAATAAATTAACAGCTGTATATGTAAGATATATGTACCTGACAGACTTGCAGAGTGAGCTTCTCAAGATTTGGTGTGTGTTGGAGAAAGGAAAGTAATGCACCAAGGTCTCCAGCCAAACACCAATCAACAAGATAAAATGTTCTTAAGTTGCAAAACGTAGGGCACCATTTCAAGTCCTTTTTTAAAGTACACTGAATTGCAAATGGATAAATCTACGTCAAAACATAAACTTAAGATGTGACTATGCAATTATATATACTGACGTGGACAATGAAAACAGAATATATAACCACCTCATTTATGTATTATAAGTTCATCAACATTTACACAGAAAGGAAAATCATCAACTTTTCTAATTTAGTCATTAGTCATGAACAGAGAAACTGAAAGAACTGAAGCGCAAACAAATTATGGACCCACATCTATAAAATCTTCAGCACAACCTGATCTTTCAAACACATTGATGCATAGCAATTCACTTGGACTTGACTATTTTTCATGTTACCAAATTTAATAGCTGGATAAGTATATCATGAACTGACAAATTGAAAGAACTGAAGTGCACCGCAAATGAAGGACACACATCTGTAAAAGCTTCTTACATATATCATTGTATATCACCGTAACCTGATCATTAAAAGCACATTGATGGATATCAATTCACTTTAACTTCACTAATTTTCATGCATGCTACCAAATTCTATAGATGGATATAGGAATGGCATGAAGATTTACCTAATACATTGAAGGAGGGTTATTTTACGTACCATTCCAAACGACGCTCTGAACCTTAGACTTGTAGCATTTGACAAACCTCTAAGAAGGACGCACGTCACGCACCCATCCATATGGTCAGCAAGGTCTTCATCACAATTCAGGCATTCACCCTCACAGCAAGAACCCGCAGAACAAGGTTTCTCACATTGATCCTCAAAGGCGCAGCGAACCCAAATAGATGCGGCTTGCAAAGGTGGCATGCATCCAAGCACAGGTGCTCTATTTTTAGCCAAAAGAGACTCTGGGCAGAAATACTAGAGTGTCCATCGAATGGAGATTCGTTAACACCAAAGGAGCACTTGACAAAGCACAAACGTTTTGCAGATGGGGAGATGAAGTTCTAGAGACTAGTGGTCTGGGACGTCCCGGTCTGACATGGGCCTGCTGAGGCTTAGCCCAGTTAGAGTCTGGCTGGTACGGTCTTATTTGCTCAATGTACGGTGCCATGGGCTATGCCTTTGATCTAGACACGGCCATACACAGGCTTAGTCAGCCCAGACTGGTCCATGGGCCCAACAAGCCCGCTCCTACGGCTGGAGCCGTGCCGCCAGGCCTGCTTGTCTGCGGGAAAGGAAGAGGAGCCGATGTTGGAGTAGCGGGTGGATGGGAATCTATGGTGGAAGGGGGAACACTGTGTGGTGCTCGAGATGTCAAATGTGTTTATGTGGCGGGCGGTATTGGAGTTAGTATTTTCAGCGGAATGAAAAC